ATTTTGACATATTTGAAGTTCAACTAAAACACTATGGCTGTGATTTGTAGGGGGTTTTGTATGTTCTCGTTTTTTTCGACATTTGTATTTGTCTGTATCACCAACCCAACAACTAAGCCTAGTTTAGATATCTGGATGTACAAGTTTTGAACAAACAAGGTCTCTTGAAGACTGTTAGAAGAGTAAAAAATGCACATGGTGAAGAACAGAGCTTAAAGGAAAAAAAATAGCTACTTACCATTTTTCATTTGAATAAAGATGTCTGGATGGATCCTCCCGTGTTAACGTTTCCTTCCTCAAGTAAAGTCCCTCTAAAATTTGTTCTAGAAAATACAATTTTTACCGGAGGAGCTATAGAAAGACTCATAATGTAAGATCACAAATGAATATGGTGTATCTTTTAAAGATACACATTTTGTCCTGGCCAAGAGTTCCCTTGAGAAAGTGCCTTGCTGAATTCAAAAGAAAGGATGAGTTTGGCTTGTATTGTTACCCAGGTTGTTTACTTTCTGGATCATCCAATGCCCTCTGTGTGACTTAAGATTCTCTTAACTGATCAGTGTTTATGCATATCTGTTGCTCAACAGATGTCTTGGACACTAAGGTCCCTCTGCAACCATTCCCAATTGCAGAACTATACTTGCTCTGAAATATTAAGCAAATTAACACTAACTCCACCTGCACATACTAAAAAGTACTATACTAGTTCTGTATGAAACATTCAAGTTAATCAAAAAACACAAGTAAAAATGAGTGATAGACAAGATTATTTTTCTGGTCAATAAGATGACTATATCTCTAAGGAATAAGAAATTAAATGTTTTTCTCAATTTTAATATCTTTTATATTTATTACTAGAAAAAAGTCTACAGCCGTGGAGGGGAAGGCCAACAACATGAGCATGAGGGATCAGTCTTCTGAGTATAGGCTTTACACAGTAAACAACCTTCAGTTCCTCACTTCTGTAAGTCCTGGAGAAATATACTTACATGGAGTTTCATTAGGAGATTTAATTTTGAGTTTCTACACCATTTACCAGCTCACAGAAAGAAATTAAGTATTAGAGAGATTTTTTTCACATCCAAGTTAAAAGAAAATAACATATATTTTTCCACTATGTGGAGGAAATGGAGAACAACTAATTCACTGTATTGTGACTGATTTATGAGGTCCTAATTTCATGTAAACACAAAATACAAAAAAGTGAGAAACCTATGTAGTTTTCCAACAGTTATGCATCCAGTTAAACTAATTGACCGTGAATTTAGTTGAGTATGACCATGAAAGTAGTTGAGCTTTGAAGTGGTACAAACCAAAGCACAGGTACATGTTATTTTAATGAACAGTGATGTGTGAAATGAATCATAGCCTTCAACACCTAGTCAACAAGGTAATAGTGAATTATATCCCAGTCATGTTTAAGAAGATAAGACAAATATTCTGGGTGTAGTTTGCAAAATCTGTTAAAGGTTTGTCAATTTGAAATTTCTATGTGAAAACTGTAAAATGAAGACTCTGCAAATGCTCATTAATCAGGCATAACAAATAGAGCTTCATCACAATATTCGGGCATTTTGTGAACATGGGGCAAGCTTTTGACTGTATTCTATTTGCTTTCAATAATTTCAACAGCCAATTCTTTCTCTGATATATACTTATACTTATTACTGATATATTTGTACTAATAGAATTTTCCTGAATATATGGAAACAGGATAGAAAGATCTAAATGAAAAATGAGGAATACTGTTGCCTCATTTGTAGATTTTTTTTTTTTGTTATTTTAAAAATATTTGCCTAGAAATCTTGGTAATTTATTTTCAGGAATTCTCAATATTAAAACATAAAACTATTGCTTTACCATTGTTAAAAATGTTACCTAAAGGTAGTTAAAATTTGGGAATAAAGATCAGAGAGACTCAATTGACTCAATTTTGTTAAGATGTACATTTGCCTTTTTGCTCAGCTTGTTCAGTGAGGTAGTGCCTTCAAACTTTAAACTAGCAACCCCCTCCTTTAAAAATTATACTTCTGAAAATATTCCTGTTCATATTAATCCTGTAATCCTTTGTAAAAAACATAGATTTAGACAAGCTTTTGAAAGTAGAAATAACAAGATCTCCCCTACTGTCTACGCTCAGGAAAAAGACTGCATACTTCAGTTATCTATTGATAGTCATGAAAAATAACGTGCCCCCCCCCCCACTGTTCTATATGCAGCTCTGTTTTATTCTTAGAAAACTAGATTATGGTAGATATTGAGAATGCTAACCTTTAAATAAAATATTAAGCACAAGCAGCTTATTGGAACACATTTGGTTACAAGTAGATTTTTATAACTGCTTAGAATTGATATATTTTAATTTCTCAGACAGTCACACCCTCTTAAAATGATTATTCTGAAGCATTTACTTTTATGTTAGCCATGACCCACTTCCTATTAAGATGAGTACTGGGTATAAATATCTGACACCTATTTCACAAGCCTTCTTCTCGTAGAATAATAGACATTATCTAGATGCTTTCACTAAAGCTTTTCCTCTTTGCTTCACTCTGCCTAGGTGATTAAAACATTTCATTATATTTTTGAGGGAGATAAGTGAGTGGGGAAAGGAAGGACTTGCTAAGGACTTCATACTGTCATTCAGTGAGATAATTAATCTCTAAAATTCTTCAGTTTGTCTTGTCTGGATCACTAAATATCTTCTGTACTGCAGTGGAAGAAAAGGAAAAGTAACAGAATCAGCAATGTGCAGCACATAGTATGAATGAGAAAGGAAATAATAAAATTTTAGCAACTGCTGCCATCTGGATGGGAAATGCATCAAGGAACTTGCAATCACTCTTGTTAGTAAGGAAATACAGAAGTCTTGACATTTCAAAGTGACTATCTGTCACATCCAGGTATACTCTGTGATGCAGAGGTGTATAGTGTTGAGCTTAAGATGATGGAGAAGGATATAATAAGTAGTAATTCTGTATAGGGCTGGCACTTTGTTCTGCCAATTTGCTGCTCAAATACATAGTGTATTCATCACCTCAAAGACCCACTGACCTGCTCTAATCTAGACACAAGTTTTCAGTTAACTAAGTTGAGAACAGGATTTGATAGATAAACTAAACTTCCATATAGGATGCTCAGCAGGTTTAAGACAAATCAAACAGCCATTCTTTCAACTGAGGCTATGTCGTTGTTTTAATTCCTAAATTTTCAGGTTTTCCTTTCCTCTTTCCATTTGCTGAAATAAGACTCCTGATGGTCTGACTTCTCTCATTCTTGGAGACTCTTCTGGCTGCCTTTATTTACACTCTGGCACCACTTCCATTGAACGCTCCTGCTGAAGTGCATTTCTACTTCTCGAGTATGATTTGTATCAGTTACAGACTCTCCTCTCCTGCCTGGTGCCTTCATACACTCTTTCCTCTCACACTCCATTCTTGGATGCTTTTTCTGAGCTTGGAGTACAGCCACAAATCAAGCCTAAGAAAGCAAGGTAGTGGCCATGAATAGTAAAGCAGGTTGCAGCATATAGAATAATATCTTTGGATCAGAATTTCCTTCTGGATTGTGACTGGTTTAACAGCAGACTGATTTTCTGAATAAGCAACAACTGTCTTCAGCAAGACCCAATACTTGGTAAATAACAGTTGTAATTTTATCTGGATATTTTTCAGGTGAATGTTTTTAGTTTCATTAGCTTTCTCTAGTCCTCACGGCATCAATCAATGATGACTTAGAATCATTAAGGTGAATGTAGAGGAGGAAAAAGAAAGGAGCAAATAATAAAAAAACAACCATGAACTGGCCCAATTCAAACTAGTTTGTGTTATTCAGTGTATAGGCACTGTTGATTACAGAGGTTGTTTAGAGAGGTTCTATTTTTTTAGTTCACAGTAAAAAAAAGTATTATCAATTCTGTGACTTCCCCTGTAAGAAAGATTTAAGAAACATACAGAGTGGCACATTTGATCTATTCAAAAAAACTGCAAACACACAAATCTCTAGGTAAGTATTTTCCAGAGGGTTTTTGAATGAGACGGTTATGTAATTTCAAACAGAGATGAGAGAATTTCTGAACTGCAAGAAAGTTTTATTTCTGTATTATTTTAAATCCACAGATGATCTGTCAGAATAAGGAGAAAAAATATCGTCTTCAAAAGAGCAACTATTTGATGTATTTGGGATTGAAAATGAAGAAACCTTATTTAGTACCATTCAATATCATAGCAGATTAACTTGTAGACAAATTTTCTGTTTTCTTGGTTGATAACAGCTGTGATTTTTTTTTTTTTTTTTTTTTTTTGGGGGGGGTGGGTTTTTTTGTTTGTTTGTTTTTTAATTTGAAATAAGGAGTGATTCTGTGAAGCTATTGATCTTGAAAAATATATCATGCAGTAGTTGTGTTAGTGAGATATGAGGCAAAGATCACAAGGAAACTTGTTCCTTTAAACAATGGCATTAAAGTTTATAAAGAAATTACAAGCCCCTATGAAGTTTTTTGACATAGTCCTATACTGCTCCTTTTCACTGTGGTCTAATTATATATTGGATATAAAAATTGCAAGTAAAGAATAGTATACTTTCTCACTGGATTTTGGTTCCTGATGACTTAAGGCCCACTTTTATGCATCTTCAACTGAAGACAACTAAAATACGAGACAGAAATATTTCTTGTACTTCTCTCGGATTTCACAGTATGTCTACAGTGGGTTTTATTTCCTCCCTTCTTCCCTGTGTCCCTCTTTTTTAAAGATCTATGATTTCAGCATTTAAAGAAAAATACTTACAAGTGAAACCTCTGCATAAATGGGCAAGTTTACCTTACTCATAGCATGACAATAGTGAGATTGTGTAGGCTTAGCTCAGGGTGTACAGTACATGTAATAAATATCTGTCACTGTAGAGATGGACAAAGTGACACACACACACACACTCACATGGGTGAATAAGCAGCTAGTTTTTGTTTATTACTAAAAGTGTGCAGTTTTATGTATTTCAGGTGCCAGAGTGTCACAATATAATTGGTCAAAAAGTTGTTTTTAACATTCTCATTGGATAACCTTTATCAGTTTCCTCCATGCTTACTTCATCCTGCTGTGTGTTCAGCAGCTCCTTGGAAAGTGATTTGCTTGAAGCAAAGCTTCCCTTTCTCAAGGGTATCGGAATCTTGTCAAGGTCAAACTCCTCTTCAATCAGGTTGTTGGCAGCCCAGCTGCCTTCCCCGACAAATTTCTTGTCCCCTTATTTTGAGTAGGTAGAGTTTGGAAGAGCACACAAGAAAGACATTCAAAACGTGGGGCACTAGAAGTGTCTGAATTTCCTAGTTCAAGGGAAATTAATTGCAGCAGACCCATTACTGTTTATTCTCACAATCTACAGTCCAGTGGTTACCCTGAAAAAGAAACAATAAAATATAAGTTAGTGCTGGGTCATATGAAGATAACTTTGTTTGCATTATGCTAAAACTGAAGATTTTAACTAATTTTTACAGCCCTTTTAGCATGAATCAGGAATTTAAGGAGTACATTGTGCCATAACATTTCTCTTCATGGAAGTTTAAGTAGGCTTATATTTCACAATAGAAAAGGACATATACATCTGTGTGGAAGAAAGAAGTTTCACAGGAGGCATTTCAGCAGAAGAAAGGATGTTTCAACAAAGAGCCTCAGAGGCAGCTGAAGCGAAGAGGTTTTTTTTTTTCATCCAGGAGACAGAATCTGCTAAGAAAGGATGAGTGATTCACTAAAAAAGAGTTTTCATATAGCAACAAAACTGAGAAGGACTTATGGGCCCAATCCTAGTGTGACTGCAGAGGCTAAGTAGCTATTGATTTAAGCTTAGAGCAAGGTCAAGATCCACATAGAGGAAGAACATATGGCTTTGTGATTTAGTAAAAGCAGCAAAGCAAATTAGGAAAAAAAGTTCTCCATCCTACAATAGACAGTAATTGGTTACAAGGGTAAGGACATATGGGTACCATATGAACTACTTTACATCTATGAAGCTGTTAGTACCTACCATAGGGAACTTGTGATAGCAGAACTGAGCCTTGAATCATGTGTAATTTCATTTCTTATAATTTTTTTTTTTTTTAAAGTAGATATTTTACACACTTGGAGTGGTGTCTGAGCTAAAAAATATGTGGAAATGAAATAGATCAACTATGTAAATATTTAGTTAGCTTTATTTACAGCTATATTACAGTGTAAGAACTGTTACTGGTCCTCTCTGAGTAGTATTGACAGTAAATCACTTAGGACATAACAAGCAAAGTGGCAGTATAATTTTCTAACATGCCTAAGTCTGCACAATAACTTATGCAGGCCTCCACATTTGCCCAAATGCAAGGATCTTTTGAAATTATGTTACAGAGAGCTTATTTTGCAGAGCAAGGACTTTGCTTTTATATATTAAAAGAAATTTTCAAGAACTCCATTGACAGTAGTAGGGCAAGACTTTGGTCCTTACAGACAGTTTTATTGAAAAGGACTTGCAAATGGATACTTGGAAATATATTCTTCTTTTTTAAATCAGACAGGTGTCTTTTATTGTCATATATAAAAGCTGGAGCAAACTTTCATATTTCAGCTTTTCTTTCAACTTGATAACTCCATTTAAATGGGATATATAATTGATATTTTCTCTTTTTTTTGTGTAATGTTAAGTCAATTTAAAAGTAGAAAGACTTTTGCAAACATGTCTCTGTTCCATTCTAAAGACTTAATCAATATACCTATCATTTTAATGATCACCAGGTCACATTGCACCTGATATGAGATCTCATCTTTAACAAATCACTGTAATTGTTTTGATTAGTTCTATTTTCCATCTGAATTAGTTAACACTCAGTATTACCTTCATTTGTTATATTTTTCATTTGATTGCAACTGTCTAAACTTTCCTTTTAATCTTAATCTTGCATCTTTGACTTTTGCTTTTATTTTCTTTTTCTTTGATGATACATCTTTCTGCAACTCCATCATTCAAAGTATCTTCTCTTCCCTCACCATTTTTCTCATGCTACAGTAACATTGCTTCACTCTTGTCCATCGTTTCCAGTTATTTCATTGTGCCTGATTAACTCGGCTGGTTATTTCTTGCTAACGTTACCACCCAGTGTCACTGCACAGTTGACTCACTGTTCAGTGTTGAATTACCCTCGCTGTGAAAAAATTCCTATGTTTAATCGGAATTGTCTACATTGAAAGTTGTGCCCATTGCCTTTCTTCCTTTCAATATCTATATCTGAGAAAAGTCTGGCACCATCTTTTCCATATCCTCCCTCTGGGTAACTGAAGATATATTTGATCAAAATTAACCAATGCCAGTAGCAATGGATATTTTCAAAGAACTGCTTGTGAGCAATTTGCAGAAGTGCTTTTGGGAATACTTTTAGCAATAAAATATATATTGAAGTAATCTTACCATTTCTTGAATGTATTTTTCCCCTAATGTTTGAAGAAATGTATTTGAAAGCTTTGTTTAAATGATTTGCTCTATGCATTTTGTAAGCATTTCTGTAGGATTGCTGTTTTCACAGCAGGAAGAGATCATATGTTAACAGCTTGCAGCTGCTGAATGCTAGTGCTCATCCTAAACACAATTTCAGAATTTTAACATTTAAACAAAAACAAACTTTAAGAAGTGAAATGTGAGTGACAAGTAGTGCTTTAGATATGTGTATCACAACTTAAACAGCTTGTAAAATGTAGCTTTGAAACTGAGTTAATTGCAAACTTGTTTTGTACCATTTGTGATCTTCCTCCTCCTGCCATAGCACATAGCTTTCCAGTTTCATCATGGTGAACACTGGACTAGAGCCTCCAGGAATGTTTCTCCCTAGGTCATTGTGAGACGACTGGCCCTGTGAAGTATAAAGCTTGCCTATGAGGAATATGTTTCTACCTGAAAGGAAAGAAAATACTGTTTCTTGAACAGCCAACATCATGTTACTTTAGTTAATTCATCAGGGGATGTGTTTGAAGCTTGTGTGTTGCTCTCTCTCTTTTCCCTAGTAAGCACAAAAATAAGTCTTGAAAATTTCTTAATGTCTATTCACAGTTTTAGATTAGTCTTTTTTTGTGGGTGGTGGAATTTGTTCACTTCTAGGAGCTGAGCTAGGCTGAGTTTTGTCACATTAACATATATATAAAAAAAAATATATTGTCAGTTAAGAGGAACATAACTTAAAGAAATGATGGACATGATTTCCTTTATCATTCACCATATGGAGAAATTTGTATATGAACAAATTAAGTATATCATCTCATAGATCAAACTAAGTTTGGTTTTGTTTAATTTTGCTCAAGTAAAATGATATTATCAGATACAGAAGAGCATATTTTTAAGAAGAAAGTGGATGTTATTTAGGTCCATAACATTATTTTCATTTTCTTGACATGTTCTATACTGTGTTTGCTAATTTCATCAGTTCCAATTTGCACAAATTATTTTTCGTTTCATACATACAGATTTTAGCATCAGGTTGTGTTAATATCATGCAGTCATTTAAAAGTTGATAGGCTCCATGATGTTACATTATCTAGCTTTCTAGATTATTGTGAGGCAGGTTTTAGTCTTTCCCAGTGTATTTTTGTTTTTTAATATCTGTTCCTCTTGCTTTATTTCTCTGGAATCCTTATATGGCCCTTACCGTAGGAATATTTATGAAGGAATATATATAGTCTCTCCCATTTTGTATTTTTTTCTTTCTAGCTTAGTGATTTTTAATATTGTTTCTGAAATGTTTCTGGTTTGATCAATTCTCCACCACAGACCAAAGGTATGCTGAACCCCAGGCAAGAAAAATCTCATGTGAACAATCTTACAAAATAAATGATTTTGTTTAAAATGCAATAGATAAAATAGGTTTGTTTATCAAGTAGAAACTTGGTTAGCTGAGAATTGCCCCCACTTTACTATGTCAACTAGAGGAAAGAGAATATAGCTGAGAACAGTTGGGAACAAGAAATCTGACAGTGCAAAGGTTGTTATAGTAAAAAATAACATTTCCCTCTACTAAGAAATGCAACACACTCTCTGAGGTACTTCTGGTCTGGATAGGTAAACTATGTCAAGGAATTTTGCTTCAGTATTTATATTGTAATGGTCCAAAATTTAAACAATATATAATCATAGATGTGATGGCATTTTCACAGGGTGCAGTAAGAATTAGTGATGAAAGTGATGACCAGCTGTGTCTCCTTAAAGGTATATCACAGAATCACAGATTGGTTGAGGTTGGAAGGGACCTCTGGAGATCATCTAGTCCAACCCCACTGCTCAAGCAGGACCACCTAAAGCCAGTTGCCCAGGAGAGTGTCCAGACAGTAATTGAATATCTCTAAGGAGACACACTCCATGAACTCTCAGGTCAACTTATTCCAGTAGTTAATCAAGCTCACATTAAAAGAATTTCCTGATGTTCAGAGGGAACCCGCTGCACTTCAGTCTGTGTCTGTTGCCTCTTGTCTTGCCACAGAGCACTGCTGAAGAAAAGCCTGGCCCCATCCTCTTTGCACTCTCCCTTCAGGTATTCATATACATTGAGAGGATCCCCCCTGAATGTTCTTTTCTCTGTTTTTTGTTCCTGCTGTGAATTATCAGATACCAAAAAAAAAAAAAAAAAAAAAAAAAAAAAAAATTAACTGTAGTAGTTTTATCTTCCTTTATTTTATTTTTCCAATTTCAGGTTAATTCTTTCTGTGTTCATCACTATCTAACTGAAGACTGACGGAGGAAAGTATAATAATTCTGAGACACTATAAGTTGACCGATGTCTATGTCTTCTGCTGTTTGCCTGAAAGTGCTAATGATGATTGAACATTAATGCCATGCTGTCTTGTATGTGAACTCCTGAATGCTTAGCAGCTAGGTGGTTTGGCATTTTTACAATAAATATATAATTATCAAAATAATGAAAGCTTGAGTGATAAGAATAGTAGGCAGCCTGGGTTTATGAGGTCTACATGTATATTAAATTTTCTTTTAAATTTATTGATAACAACAATAGTGCAATTTACTACTTCCATTTCTGTAAATTGTTTGGTTTGCTACAGCATGATATTTTGATTAAGAAGCCAGATGAAACAGTCAATAGAAGAGTTCATGTTGATTAGACACTACCTTTCTTACTGATGTTTGTGAAGTCTTTAAGTACCAGTTCTTGACCTTTTGTTATTAAAAACTGTTATCAATGACTTGGAGAAAACAAAATTGTTATTGAGTGAATTTATAGCATATGCACACACAGACACATAAAGGAATATCAAAAGTAGTATTTAGCAGGGAAATGTATGTTGTTTGGTAAGTATAGTATAAATATATAATATACAATTCAGCATAGCCAAATCACATTTTGGTCTAGTGAGGTTTTAATAGAAACCATGCTTTGAGGCTACAAATGCTGTCCTGAAGAGCAGCGACTCTTAAAAAGGTGCAAGAAGTCACACCAAGCATGAACACTCAATACAACTCCACATTGAAAAGGCAAATGTGAGACATAAACATGAGAATATTGAGTAGAAATTAATTATGCTACCTCTGTGTTTCTCCCTGTGTGGTTCTTGCTTTCAGTTCTGAAATCCACAATTCAGAAAGGGCATTGATAAATGGGAGAGGATTAAGTGAAAGCCAGGAGGATTATTAAAGGACTGTGAGGGACTCAGGGAGCTTAAACTATAAATTTAGCAAATGAAAGGTTAAGAACTGTATCTATAACATTCATAGCTCTTCACAGCTGGATGCTCATCAGAGTACAGTTTTGTGCTCTCAAGCTTTCCTTGCTCTTTGAAAGGATGTCCTGCCAAATCTCTGTCCTTTCTAAAATGACTGTTACACGCACTGATGTTCCTTTCTGCATGTGGTACCTCATAGCTGAGCTGCTCTTGGTTCCAGGATCATCTCTGACAACCTTAACTATACCTTTCCTTGTAATCCACACATGCTATCTGCATTAGGTCTGTAATAATGGAAATATGTTGTGAACAGGCCTGAAGAGGTTTTGAGCAAAGTCATTTGGCTTTAGTTACTACACAGAATATCAGTTCTTGTCAAAACATTAAAAAATATGGGTCTTTTTATGTTTCCTCACCTTTTTCAGAGTTCACTGGAAGTTGGCCAATGTACCTAGAGTCTTTTTTGAACATAGCATGTCTATTCTAAAATGTGCTGTCTGGTTCTTAGTGTCTTTTGACTATGTGTGGTGTAATTCTGCTCATCCTCTTCTATTTCAGTACACCAGAGCTGTACTTCTTGCTCATGTTTGCTGTCTAGGAGTGATTGGGAGTGTTTCAGGGAGGGAAATGCAAACTCTGGAAATACCTTTAAACTTTTGATGCACACAGCCTTTAATTCCCTCTAGCAAAAACAGTCAAGAACAATGGAAGTATGGCAGGATCACAGAGCAGTGCAAGTGTTTGCTGGTGGTGTAGGTGCAGACACACACGAACACAAAACCAAATATAAACCTACACACATTGCCTTGCTCATAGATGGGATTCCTCACTTTTCTCCTGTGCCATTGCTCACTGGCCCAGCAGGCTACTCTGTGGGATTCCTGTGGGGCCCTCTGGAGGTCTGCTGTCCCACAAGAGCTCCCTACACCAACCCAATGCTCTTGGGCGCTGGAGCTTCTACTCCATCCTGGGGCATCCCTTCACATTCTTTCATGCTGTCTCTGTTTTTCTGGATTGTCCCAGACAACTGGGGTCAATCTGGCTAATCTTTGGTTGTTTTTTCTGGGTAGATGCTTGTTGGCTTTTCCCCAGTGTTATTTAAATAATGAGACAATTTTGTCACATTCTGTCACGTGGTGTTGTCAAGCAGGCTGTCCACCCAACAGTGTATGTGGGGATGGAACATTTCCACACTGAGAACCCAAAAGTTAAAAAGAACCATTTCCTGAAACAATCTGACTGATGAGATCAATAGATGTTTTAGACTAGTTGATCAGCTGTTAATTTGATGGTTGAACAGATAGATTGCTCTTAGTTTCTGCTCCATTAGTTTGTTTCCACTTTAAAATAATGTTTCCTAATTTGTTTGTTTTAGTTCTGTGACAATGTCTCCTCAAAACTGAGGCATAAGGTTAGTAGAGCAAAGCAGAAAATCCCAATAGTGATGTAAAATTTGCCCATATATAAAGATTTCACAGAAAAAACCAAAATTCATGAACTCCACGTTGATTCCCCCACTTGTTAAGTGTGATTTGATTGCAGTTGATAAGAAATCATATAAGGAATAAAACTGTATTGAGAGGATTCTCAAATCTAGAAGGAAAATGCATAACGAATTATAGCACATGAAAGTTGTAGATAGACATATTTCGATTAGAAATAATTCACATTTAAAAATATTAGAACAATTTATATTCCAGATCAGACACAGAAGTTAATTCAAGAAAGTTGTATGGCTTATGTAATAGAAGCAGTCAGATGATGTGATCATAATGGTCCCCCCTCTGGCCTGAAAAGTCCATGAATCTATTAAATAAATGAAAAAGATATTGGAATTTTTTGTCATATTCTGCTTCATCAGTAATGTCAAGTACAGTTTACCCATAATTGATGTCTTACTGTCCCTAGTGTCAGCAGAAATGAGCTGTCACCACAGTTACCTACCTACTGCTTTCACTTCCTCTCCAATTTACATTCATATCCCTGAGATCTGTAAATTGAACCAGTTTTGAAAAGGTAATGAGATTAAATTACCTACATGTAATCAAAATCAATTTAATTTTAAAAAGTAAAAAACCTTTTCTTTGGTATTTTAAAAAGTATTTGTAAGTAAAGTAGAATCATTTGCATTGGTTTTCAGTCTATTTCTTATACTTGTATGTTGCAAAGGCTTTTATTCACAAATTAGAGGCCAAAATGCAACAGTTTGATGATATATTAATTAAAAAGAACCAGAATACCTTAGCAAACATGTAAACTAAGCTCCAAGTCATACATTATACAGACCATAATGAACAGGTTTTTTACTCCACCGCCTTTTTGCAGGTTCATAGAGTTCTTTGGGACTGGTTTTGGTAACAAATATGAGATCAGTCCCTTTTTATATTTAACAAGTCAGAATTAAGATCTCTGGTTTTATCTGTGTCTGGTTTTATTTAGTCAAACATTTAAAATAATCTTATAGATTTTTTTTTGTGTATTCTTCACATTTCTTGCAGAGCAAAATCATCCTAATTCTTTTCATTATGCACATAATATCCCTGTTTCAAAGAGACCAGACGAAACCATCCCCAATTTCTGCAGAGCAGCTCTTCTGTATTATTCTGATGTCCTCAAAGGACCTCTGTTTATTGAAAGCCCATAACTGTCTTCATCCAAGTGCTCTAGGGCATCACTAATTTTACCATTGAAAAATTTCACCAAGTCTAATTTTGCAGATCCTACATAATTCCATTTTGTTTCTATTCTCCATGAATATGGAAAATAGATTACTTTTTCCCTCTTTGCAACAACCTTTTATATATATGAAGATTGTTATCTCCTTCTTTGCTCTTTTTAATTAGATTAAGCAATCACTATTCATTCATTTTTCTTTATAGGTCATATTTTGCAAATCTCTGACTTTTCTGATCACAATCACCTGAGCTCTTTTTAGTTGACCTGTGTTCTTTGAATCAACATGAGCAGAGCTGAAGGCTTATACTCTTGTCTATATACCCCATTAGTAAATCACAACTGTTTAAACTCTTATGCAAAATGTATTAAAGCCAATGAAGCACTTTCATTTGCTTTTATAAATTATTAAAAACTGCTATAGAACACTTGTTTTGTAAATAAAACTTATATTTCCAACTGAACACAGCAAGAGAACATCAGTTTTATTGAACTTCATGGTAAAATAGGTTTCAGTATCTTAATGCATACATTGTCTTTCACAATACTCTAGTGAAATAGTTACAGCAATACTGAAGTTTTAGTACTTTGTATAGTTATAGAAGTTCAGGTTGGAGGTATTAAAAATATAGATTGCTCTGTTTGTAGCTGAATTGTCTTTTTCCTATGAGATTTTTATTCCTGTTAGAACAAGTTCAACCTTATATTCTCATGAATTCAAAGAAAAATAAAATAGACATATGGAATTTGGATAATTTATTGAATATGATTTATAAATATTATATTTTAAATATTTAATTTTGTTTCTTTTTGTTGTGTTACTCCTAGTATTTTACATATCCTTCATGACATGAGTAATTAAGATTATATTATAACATGAAATAATAGGTTGGACTAAACACTATATTTCTGTGTTTATTATCCTATGATTTTGACATCAGGACACATTAACACTGAAAAATACTATAATATTTTAAAAATATATATAAAAGTGAAAAGTGAAATGTCATTGACAACTTTTTAAAAATAAAAATCTTCCTTTTATGGCTACTGCTCCATATCTCTAAGAGATGTTGCCAGCGGTGTTTTTGAAGACTGTGTTCCTCCCTGAACAATTTTTGAACATTCACGCCTTCCTCTGGGGTTTCACAAGCATTCAGGGCAACAAGCCTCACATGTCTAAAGCTCTGAAGTTGGTGCTTGCCCAGTTCACTGAAGGTCTTGTGCTGTGCTGTAGGACTTCCCCACCTTCATGTTAGGAACAACATCATCAGGAGAGAGGGTCATGCTTTGACCAAATATCTGTCTGGTTTATATTATGACGTAGTTTTTCTTTTAGCAAAAGCAATAGCCACTGATCTATGTCTTTGATATGAGATCCAAGATTTGAAGAGGTATAACAATAGCCCTCTAGGAACAAATGCTGCTCCAGAAAGTATGTGCCAAACAGGGGTCTGCTAAGTAAATCTCATAGAGAAAATAAGAGAACTGACAAATCTCCCCCCTGCCTTACAAAAGCTTTTTTGTTCTGCTTGTCTTGAGCTGCTGAATTATTGGCAATAGCTCCTTTGCTGTTTTAAAACTTCACAGTTTCATCTGTCAACAGTAAGTGGTCACAGCCTTTCAACAGGTGTTTCCCTAAGCTGTTTCCAGGGAAAACTATGTTTTCAGGATAGGAATCAGCAAGGTGTTTAGATTACTAAAGTTTAAAGTTTATTAAAGATTAGTGCTTAGACTACTAAAAGAGTTCCATTAGTAAAATGCTTAGATAAATGCCTAACACGTGCTAGACTTCTTAGTTAGAACTAAAAACACAAATTCAAATTAAATTTTACAGCTTCTTGAAGGGATATACAGAGAATTCATCATTTTCCCTAAAATTATTTCATTCCACTGATAAATTCACTTAACAGTCATATAACTGGTGTGTACTAAAGCCAAAGCTTAATTAAAACCAATGATGAACCTTATCTTACTCAGTTAAAATAAAGGAATATATTTTTATTTCATGTTGAAGTTTCCATGAAGAATTATTTAATCTAACTCAACGCTGAAAATTTCATTGCTGCCAATAGAACCAAGATTTTAGACCTTTATTTTGAAAATGTATTCCAGGAAACATCTAGAAGTTAGAGACTTAAGCATGCCTATATAATTAAAAAATTTCCTACCACTTTTTTTTTTTTTTTAAACATAATAAAATAAAGGATCCAACCTTTTCTAATTTTCAACCCACTTGCAGGGCACACATTGATTTAGATCTGTATTCTGGTTGCTCTTGCTTTTCAAATCTCAGTGGGAATTGGTTTTGTCAATTGTTAAGAATGATTAAATCGCAGAACCTTAGCATACTGAAATGTGTTAAATTAGAAAGAAGAACAAAGCTGTCGTTGTTAAACAGATAACCTGTGAGCTATGTGGCACTCTTTTATTTATGGACTTTGTTGCTCACAGTATGACTCTGTACAATACAAAAAGGGTTTTCTCTACAGACTGAATTTCAAAGACTTATGTATCTGAGACTAAAGAAAAGCATTTCTTCTCTCCAAGTACACATTCCTCAGAAAGATTAATAAAGCTGGAGAAAAAATCCTCTTCATAAGAGATCACACTCTTGGCATCTTATGTTTGCATCACAATGTTGTTCATCAGAGGAATGGGAAGGAAATAAAATCGTGTCCCTGGAAATCAATGTATAAACAGTAGTGTCCAGAGTATCAAGAAGTATAAATAAATATGCTTATCTTTGCTGGAGTTAGTGGCACTGTGCCAGTTTAGGCCCAATGTGGTTCTGATCCCATAGTGTTGAAACAATATACTTCCAGTTGCTGAAGCTAAGTCTAAAGAACCATTCACAGAAAATATTCTTTAATCTCTCCATGTAGCTTTCATTAATATCCTTTGCAGCTCTGTGAAAATTGTTTATAATGTTCGAATACATTGATTTTTGAAAGTATATATTTAGCATTATCTTTCCATGTATCAAAGTCAAAGCTCATTTGTCACATCAGATAACAAAACCTCAACAAAAGTAAATCAGAAACATTGTGATAGAAATGCCAGAATATATGTGTTTTGTATATGTGCTGATACTTCTATCATCATATTATTTAACTGAAAAGATCAATTAAATATTATGATTCTTTAAAAAAAAAAAATGCTGTGTGGTAGCACTCCACATGAAGAGTTTCCTGGGATACTGTACTCTTGTATGTGTAGGCACTTGAAAAAAAAAATACATTCTTAGAAAAAACTCCATTTTGGACTTAGGTCAAGAAGCAACAAATATTTGTTTTGTTTTTTCAATTGTTTGTTTGCTTTCCTAGAAACCGTGTCACTGAGTAAGCATTCTAGCAGTTTAGAATTTTTTAAAAAAACACAATAAAGCAAATTTTTCAGAAAATATGTCTGTAAATAAATATTATTTATCTAAAAAGGAAATTAGGACAAAACCCCAGATATAAACTTCTGATCTTGCTCTTCATATTCCACCTAATTTTGAATCTACCCATATCCTGTGGAGGCCTTGGCTCTTTTTGTTTATTGCTCCAGAAATAACTAAAACTGCACTATTAATTTTTGGAGCTACAACTGTATTGTCGGGTCTAAGGCACTTGCTGTAAATCTCTGAATCAGACTCCATAAATCAAGTATCTTAAGTATACATCCCCTGTGGGAGCTGATCCAGTCAGCAGACTCAGGGCATGCTCTTGCCACACATCACTAGAAGTTGGAGAGGAGGCCTTGCCATATAAAATGAGTAGTGGGTTGCTTTCTTTTCAGACAAGGTGTTTATACTTCTCTGTACAAAAGCGAGTAATGTCTTGTCAAGAAAACAGGTAAGTAGAACCCAGAACAAAGGTGAGGTCAGAAAACAGGGCAGTAGCTTATTGAAAATAGTATTTGCCAGTTTTCAAAATCTGTGGGATACTTGTAAGAGTCCACCTATTTGCCACAAATACATTATTATACAATGACATTTCAACATTTTTAAAATGTACAATGTTAATAATATATTATTACTGCTACTACAATTGATGGGCAACTTAAGACACGGGAAATTTTAGACTTTTTTTTCCCTGCTTAGCATTAATCTGTACTGACTGAGGATATGATTCAGTCTATTCTCCTATACAGAACGTTAATCCCAGTCTACATTGTGTGTGAGAGTGTCTGTGTGTGCTCTGTGTGTGTATTGTTGAATCTGTCATGATCCTGGAAATGTACATGAGAATTGGTAAACAAAAAAGAATGAAAAGGGAACTTTACTGCAAATTGCAGAACTGACCTAAGAGCTCTGAGTCATGCTGAAGTGTTTCATTCAGTAAAAACTCAGTGTAAAATAAAAACCACTACAAATAGCACTAAGAGTCATATCTCTTTTTGCGCCCTTTTTTAACTGGCTTGAAGAACTTTGAACATCTTTCTGCATCAAGGTGCAGAAGAAAGAATGCTGTTTCATTTTGCCTCCTTTGGCTTTGCAGCTTCTGAGCTCCTTGTTTCAGAAGGGTTTCCTTTCATCATAGAGTCCTGTAATCATAGAATAATTTAGGTTGGAAAAGACCTCTAAGATCATTGAGTTCAACTGTTAACCTAGCATTGCCAATTGCACCACTAAACCATGTCCCTAAGAACCACACCTACATGTCTTTTAAATATCTCCAGGGATGGTGACTCAACCACTTCCCTGGGCAGCCTGTTCCAATGCATGTCAAACTTTTCAGTGAAGAAATATTTCCTAATAATGTTTTCCTCCCCTACAGGGTAGGTCCTGACAAATTGGAAATCGATCAGTGATGCACATACTTAAGAAGTGTCGGAAAGATAATCTGGGAAATGACAGGCCTGTCAGCTTGACTTCGGTGCCTGGGATGCTGATGGAACAGCTCATCCTAAACACCATCACACAACACATGCAGGACAACCAGATGCTCAGGCCCAGTCAGCATGGGTTCATGAAAGGCAGGTCCTGCTTGACAAACCTGATCTCCTTCTACAACAGGGTGACCTGATTATTGCATGAGGGAAAGGTTCTGGATGTTGTCTACCTTGACTTTAGCAAGGCCATTGACACTGTTTCTCACACTATTCTCCTGGCGAAACTGGCTGCTCGTGGCGTGGATGGGCACACACTTTGCTGAGTAAAAAACTGGCTGGATGTCCGGGACCAAAGAGTTGTGGTAAACGGAGTTAAATCCAGTTGGTGGCCGGTCACGAGTGGTGTTCCCCAGGGCTCGGTTTTGAGGCCACTCCTGTTTAACATCTTTATTGATGATCTAGACTAGGGGATCGAGTGCGCCCTCAGTCAGTTTGCAGATGACACCCAGTTGGGTGGGAGTGTTGATCTGCTCGAGGGCAGGGAGGCTCTGCAGAGAGACCTGGACAGGCTGGAGCCATGGGCTGAGCCCAACTGGAGGAGTTTCCATAAGGCCAAATGCCGGGGGCTGCTCTTGGGCCACAACAACCCCCAGCAGCACTACAGGCTTGGGGAGGAGTGGCTGGAGAGCTGCCAGTCAGAGAGGGACCTGGGGGGTTGATTGACAGCCAGCTGAACAGGAGCCAGCAGTGTGCCCAGGGGGCCAAGAAGGCCAGTGACATCCTGGCTTGTGTCAGCAATAGCGTGGCCAGCAGGGACAGGGAAGGGATCTGACCCCTGGACTCGTCACTGCTGAGGCCGCCCCTCGATTCCTGTGTTCAGTTTTGGGCCCCTCACTCCAAAAAGGACATTGAATGACTCGAGCATGTCCAGAGAAGGGCAACGGAGCTGGTGCAGGGTCTGGAGCACAGGTCGTACAGGGAGTGGCTGAGGGAACTGGGGGTGTTTAGTCTGGAGAAGAGGAGGCTGAGGGGAGACCTCATCGCCCTCTACAGCTCCCTGAAAGGAGGTTGCAGAGAGCTGGGGATGAGCCTCTTTAACTAAGTAATAAGCGATAGAACAAGAGGCAATAGCCTGAAATTGCACCAGGGAAGGTTTAGACTGGATATTAGGAATCATTTATTTCCAGAGGGGGTTGTTGGGCATTAGAATGGGCTGCCCAGGGTGGTGGTGGTGTCCCCATCCCTTTAGGTGTCTAAGAGTCGGGTTGACATATCACTGAGGTATATGGTGTAGTTGGGAACTGTCAGTGTTAGGTTAATGGTTGGACTGGATGATGTTCAAGGTCTTTTCCAACCTAGATGATTCTGTGATTCTGCAATATCCAATCTAAACCTCCCATGTTGCAAGTTGATGCCATTTCCACTTGTCGTAGTGCTTGTTACTTGGGAGAAAAGACTTCTCAGGTAGCTGTGGAGAGCTATAAGGTCTTCCCTCAGCCTTCTTTTCTTCAGGTTATACAACCCCAATTCACTCAGCTGCTCCTCGTAAGACTTGTGCTCTAGAACTTTCACCACCTTCATTGCTCTTCCTTGGACATGCTCCAGCACCTCCATGTCTTTCTTATAGTGAGGGGCCCAAAAGTGAACATAGTATTTGAGGTGCGGCCTCATCAGTGCCAAGTACAGCGGAACAATCATTTCCCTGTCCCTGCTGGCCACACTGTTTCTGATACAGGTAAGGATGTTATTGGTCTTCTTGGCCACCTGGGCACACTGCTGGCTCATATTCAGCCAACTGTCGACCAACACCCCCAAGTCTTTTTCCATTGGGCAGCTTTCCAGCTGCTTTTCCTCAGGCATGTATCATTGCATGGGGTTGTTGTGACACAAGTACAGACCCAGTACTTGACCTTGTTGAACCTCATACAGTTAGCCTTGGTCCATTGATCCAGCCTGTCCAGATCTCTCTGTAGATTCTCCCTACCTTTAAGCAGGTCAGCTTCTGCTCAACTCATTGTTTTCTGCAGACTTGCTGAGGGTGTACTCATCCAGATCATTGATAAAGATATTAAACAGACCCCAGTACTGAGCCTTGGGAAACAGCACTTGTGACCGGCCTCCAGGTGGATATAACTCTATTCATTGCCACTCTTTTGGCTCAGCCATCCAGCCAGTTTTTTACCCAGGGAAGAGTACAGCCAGCTGATTTTGAGAAGTGGGTCATGCTGCACAAACAAGAATCTTTTCCATGAACCACTGGTACTGAGCAGCAGCAGGGTAATGCTTAGCGAGCAGCTGTATATTCTGTAGCTCTAGATATTCTCAGTTTAAACAGAGGTGATCTATTTTGCACTAACTTTATGACATATCAACTGTGGTGGCAGAAACATCTGTCTAGGAGAAGTAATAAGCTGTCAGGGATGCTAATTTCTTAAATGACTAAAGCTATATGTGGAAAAGAGCCTGTGATCACCATGATTCAACAAGGAAATCAGGGAAAGTGATCAAAATATAAATCAACTGATACTTACTTCAAACATACACAATCTACAACTAACAACATTCACAGCTGTGATATCTTCACTTAACACCTTGACTATGTCAGTTGCATTTATTCTGTTTGAGGATAGGATAGTATATAACATAGTGACTTAAAGCATACCCTTAGCAACTACACTGAATGTGTTTTAAATGAGTTTTACAAGCTGACATTAGATTTTTGAGATAGTACCCTGTCTTTTATACCATTTATATTAAAAAGAAAATAACGTACATACAGCAGCTTATCGCTCTCATGTAATTCTTACTTTGAAGTATTTATTGTTTTCACCCTGACTACTGATTTTTTCATCCACATCAACACATCAGCTTATGGACAGGCATGAGAGCAGCTGAAATCACATAAGGCTGTGTGCAGTCTGTCTGCCCTAATACACAGACTGTCTACAGGGCCATCTCTCAGGCTGTTTTAAGGCACCTCAGACAGGCTTACCTGGTAGGATGCAGAGCCTCACAGAGTGCTACAGCTGGCTGTGAGTTTGCTGCATGATCAGCGGCTCTGATCCTGAAAGACCTCAAGGCATTTCTCCCTCTGTACTGGTGTTGTATCTTCCAGCATGAGTGTGGTGACATGATACAACAAACTTTTATAATGCAGTCCATTAAGAAAACAGTGGAAGTTGTCAATCCACTTAAACTGAAACCACATCAAAGTAGGTGACTTTGTCAGCAAGACAAATAACAGTAATTTTCTCATTTTTGTAATTTTCAATCATTTCATTCTGTCGCTCTCCAGTAAACTTCCAGTAAGGCAGCAGAGTACTGCATTAAGACACTAGTTCAGCAACATGTTGGAGGTATAATTGACATTGATTAAAATCACTCAAACTAAAGAGTATTCTTGAAGGTAGGGAAGTGCTTTGCCTGAACACCTAAATTTTTGGACTGTCACTCAGCAGGTACTTTGTCTTTTTCTTTTTTGGTCACCTGATCTTTTGAACATAAACTAAATATTTATCGAGACATTCATGCAGGACCCATTGCAGACTCCTTTAGGCCAAAGGTCTTCAAGAGGTGTGTTAGTAAAGGGTAGATAGTCTTTGACTGACTGTCTACAGAAGGGTGAAATTAAGACACATTCAGCAAAGCTTAAGAGAGGAGAGTCTGTTTAAATAAAAGCACTTGATTGCAGAGGCACTGTTAGTCTATCATTGAAGCCACAGGAGAACAATCTCTCTCTGCATAGGAGGAAGAGAATGGAAAGATCACCATATAAATACCATACTGTTATCTGATGCTATTATCCAGGCCCTTCTGCCTTGTGGTGCTCTCCCTAGGTGTCAGGTCAGCTTACATGCTCTGAATGACTTTTACAAGTATTACCAGAGTTCTTTTAGGAATAGCACTCATGCAGCTGACCATAAAAATTCATTCCTAAAGTCCATGAAGTGTTGATAAGCACCTAAGTTCATAAAAATGAAAGAACATTTTTTTCTGAAATGATTTATCATTGCTACTCAGTATTTGTGAACCAAAACTGCTACAATTTGCTCCTTCATACAGTTGATTAAATATAGCTTAAGAACTCTTTTGTTCTTGTTTTTCCTCAAAGATTTTTCCACTAAGGATGATAAATAGTAACATGGAATTATTAGGTAAAGAACTTGTCTTAAGTAACTTTATCAGAACAGGTGAGTCCAGTACAAATTTCACTAGGATGGCCAGGTTTTTCTGCAATATTAGGGCAGAGCTTGTTTAAACATTACTGCCCAAAATAATGGCCATCGAAGAAAAGATACAATAACACTAACATAGATCAGAAGATAGATGAGATGTTATATCTAAGGTTATTTAAGATAAGGTGTTTTATTTATTATGTCTTGTTTAAGTCATATTCCTGCCCAAGGTAGCTTTCTTGACTAATAAAATTAAGAATTTTGAATTTCAGAGTGGCTAAACATTCACATACACATCATGCATCTTTGTCTAGGTGACTGAATGTACAATATTAAGAGTACAACATAAACCCATCTAATATAAATAAGACCTGAACTTCATCACTGTTTGATGACAATATGATGTTTTATTGTATATGGTATTGCCCAGGTACCAAAAGTTCAGCCATGTATTTGTTTGGTATTTTAGTGAAGAAATTACAGACTGAAAGCATAATTTCAATGGCTAAACTTTTTCTTCTTACAGTTGCTTTCTCCATGTCAAAATCAATTAAATATGGCAGATCTAGTCTATTGGGTTTACATGACAAGGCTTTGGTAGGGGGGGGGCTACAGAGGTGGCTTCTCTGAGAGGGCACCAGGGCCCCCCCCCATGTCAGACAAAGCCAGTTCCAACTGGCTCCAGGACAGACCCACCACTGGACAAAGCTGAGACTGTGTGACGCTAGTGGCCCCTCTGTGGCAATATATTTAAACGAGCACTGTGCAGCAGCTGTGAGAGAGGAGTTATTGACTGTAACCTCCATTTTCCATCCCTCTGTGCTGCTCAGGGGATTACGAAGAGGTAGACCTGGAAAGAAGGGGGGATTGTGAGAAAGTGGGCTTAGTTTTGGTTTTGTTTCTAGCTGTGATACTCTGTTTCCAGTTGTCATTAAATTAAACTAATTTCCCCAAGTCAAGTCTGTTTTGCCCGTGATAGTAACTGGTAACTGATGTCCTCCTTATCTTACCCATGAGCTTTTTCATTGTATTTTCTCCTCCAGTCCTGCTGAGGAAGCGAAGTGAGATAGTGACTTGGTGGGCACCTGGTGGCCTGCTGAGGTTAAGCCAACATAGCTAATATCAGGAATTTTGCCTATATTCTAAATTTTTAAAGAATAGACATTACCCTTCCAACATCTATTACAGGTTTTTACACACATACACATACATATGTGTGTGGATATATAAAGAGCTAGACAGTGATATAAAGTCAGCACTTTCAAAAGGTCAGAAATACTTAGGTACAATTACGCAAAACTAGTATACCACAGGATGACAGAAAAATTCCTGACAGCATGTTGTGTCTCCTTATTCAAATGTTATGTCAAGTCACACAAGGCATACACAGGACTGTAACACCTCCTGGTTAATGTGTCAAGACTTGTGTCAACACACACCATGTTGTTTTCAAATCCAATGTACTTATTAAAAAGAAAAAGATATCACTATGCTGTGACAGCCTTGATTCATTGCTAGTGCTCTTCCAGTGATCTCTAAATTACTGCAGCACTGAATAGTACACAGCATTGGAAATATCCATTGTTCAGCTCTACTCAACAGTGTTTTTAACATCAAAATACTTTTATTTTGAGGCACCAGATATCTCTGCAGCTGGTTGAAATTGGAAATGGAGATTCTGGCGTGAAGGAAGTTGTGAGAAATTGTTTGTGATTTTGAAGTGCAGAGGGCAACTGAGATGTTCAGCAGTGGGGACAGAAGCAAACTCCAACACCACTGACAAAGCTGAAAATATTTGATTCAAGCTAGAATTCTTTTTTAAGTCAAATGTTACAAAATGCTGCTGTGCTGTCCATCATTACCTTAAAAATGAAAGCTGGATAGTTCTTTAAAATGAACCATAAATAATTAATGATTATCTCAATTTTTATAGCATGAAAATTCTGATTTTGTGTAATACTATTTTGCTATTTTCTCATGACTTTCTAAGTTTGTTCACATCTATGCATTTGGTAACTAACCATAATAACATGTTAACAAGAGAAAACAGAAGTGTATGCCAGCACATTAATTTGACTTTGGAAATCCTTAAATCATTAGAAATATTCACTCTCCATAACATGATTTTCTTTACTGCCTCTGAAAATCAGTAGGGATTACAGTTTGTCCCTTTCACTGCATTAATCTAAATTACATTCCTAAGATTAAATTGCCATGCATTACTGTGCTAAGTCACAGGTTCATCCTTCTTTGTTCCAAGACAGTGTTTGTCCTGACATATATGCATACAGACAGCTTCGTATGTTTGGTGGGGTTTTTTTTGTTTGTTTGGTTTGGGTTTGTTTGTGTGGTTTTTTTGGGTTTTTTTTTTTGTGTGGTTTTTTTTTTTTTTTTTTTATATATTGGACAGTGACATATTCTAATCACCTCCATCTGCTTAAATGACTGATGCTTGTTGGTCCTGGAAAAACCTATCCCCCAAACAAATTTTATTCTCCTTCAGTTTGCCTTTAGGATCGGTCAGTCAACATGAAATATCTTCTACATGTTATACCTCAATGAATTCATGTTGCTTCCATCAATACTGGTCTAAACTACATATCCAGAACACAGATAATTTCTTTGTTAAGCACAACTATATACAGATTTTTCCCCTGCCACTCCCTAAAAGCCATTAACTATCAAAGCTGCCCAAACATTGGCTATGGCTTTTTCTATATTAGTCACCCTGTTTCTCTCTGTAGGTTACAATGAGAATTAGAGTTTTGTTGAAGCTAATTAATACAAACTGTCTTGGACACTTTTCAGACAAACAACACTCCCCTTTGCTTCTCCATTGATTATATGGGTACTTAGTTGACTGGTTTAAACCAGGTGTATATCTTTTCATTATCTTGAGTTCAGTGATGGGGATCTTGCCTTAAATAAGAAGAAAACCAGCATAAACAGTTAAAGAAGTTATTGTGGCACAATCTGCTCCATCAGTATATTCCCTGTCAGCAATTTTCTTAGCAAACAATTTATAGATTCATTTTTAAATTCTGATTCTTGGAAATAATCAGTATGCCGGAACTATGAGGAATGTGTGCATCTGTGGTGCTACAATTTGCTTTTATTTTTTTATAACAATGCACACTTAAGAAAATGGCCAGGTTACTAGTTACAAAGAGATACTTTAAATAATCACATTTTTATCACAGTAATTAGTCAACATACTGAAAACTATCTTGTCAGAATGTTTAAATGAACTGATTATTTAATGTGGGGGTGATCTGAGTGGGAAGAGTGCATGGTAACTGTTCATTCTCCCTTATTTGCTCTTTAGTAGTAAGTGATCTTTGTGAAGTATCTTCCTGCAATTCAATGAGACAAAGGTAATCACATAAATTATTTTTGTAATTTTCTATTTACTTGCCTCAGTGAAAATGTCACCTTTTCTTTAATTACGCTTTCATTCCTCAAGTTTTCTTCTTAAAAATTAATGATGGAAGAAATTAGATGGTCTCTTCAGTCCTGGAGATGGCAAGTGTTGATTTAAAATAAATAAATAAATAAATTAACATGTCCCCTTTCCCTGTGGAAGATAACATATCTTGTAGCCCTGCCTTTGCCAGGCTCAAGAGGAATGGTGGGAGCATACTTGTACTAACAGCTGAAACAGTGGAATAAGTGTTTGGCGGAAATAACGCACAATAAAATACAGTATGATTTCTAGAATTTTCCCTCTTCTTATTTTTAATTAATCAAACAACAAAACCAGTCTCATGCTTAGATTGTCTTTTGCTCTGTTTCAGTCTTTTGTTTCTCACACAGAGTAATGGGGTGCACTCTGCTCCCAGGAAGCTGTCTCCTGAAGGGGAGGGAGGAAGCAGCAAATGAGCTGGTAACAACAGCAGCTGGCTGGGTGATGAATGGGAGTTTCCTGTCTTTTATCAAAGGCATTGGCAGGCATTCATTCTGATCAAGATTTCAAAAATGCTGTGAATTACATTCAGTAGCTTCCTACAGATGTCTGGAAACAACCTTTCTCTCTCTCTCTCTCTCTCTCTCTCTCTCTCTCACACACACATACACACACACACACATACACTCATGCACAGACACACAGAGTGTGTAATATAACTGCTTGGCCAATGATTCACTGTAACTGAGTTTGCACTGTTCTCTGCTTTCATGGAATGCAAAATATAATTTACTAATTTTACTGTAATAAGGGTGTTTTGAGAAGTTCTCTTAAGTCAAGTACAACCACTTGTCCCAGCTGTCTAAAGCCAGTATTCACTGCTGCAGGGTGACTGTTGCTTCTGTGGTAGCAGATTATTCCTCTCTTACCTAGTAAGGGGCCTGTTCTTTAGGTGCAAGTGTGAGCAGACCTCATACTATCCCACACACTGAGACACATTGGTCAAAGAAGCTCCAGATACACCGGAACTGCTGTACAAAACAGCAACGTGTTAGGTGGTGCAGTAGGAGAAGAATCACTTTTCTTGGATTAAAAGCCATATGATTAGAGCTACTTTTTTTATTGGCTTCGAGTTGTTTTATCTTTACCAGTGATCATGGACGAGATAAACCAGATGATTTGGGAGGTGCAGTTGAATTCTGATAGAAAAACAAAACTGATTTTACAACTAAATTGTAGTGCAGCATTAGCCAGAGAAGAGAAAAGGAGATTCATGCTTTCCTCCGAGCAACATAGTGGGTCTAAAATATTGGCTCT